CTACGGGTTTGCTAGAATAATTCATTGTTGACATCAAGAAAATATTCAGAACTACGGATAAGTCAGTCACCAAAAAATAATAAACAACAAAGACAAGGGACTAAGGGCATCGCGCAGGATCATGCACTTGATATTATGATATTTAGATATTTCAACAATTCTCATAATTTTTGCAAAAGGCTGTAATATATACACTATAGATAAAATAATATAATATTCAATAAAGTTAACTGAAGAAATGTTGTCCATTTACAAACATAGATAGAAGATGATACCAAAATAGTGCTTGGAAGATCAATAATAATATTTTGATTCATTCAATTCATGTTTTTTGATTCATGTTTTTGGCCTGACTGTCATGTTTGGAGTGTTTGTCATCATCGTAATTTRATTGATTAAGTGTTTTTATAGTCCTTGCTTAGAACTTATTGCCTTACATTTCGCTTGTCATAGATTCAACCAATCATATACTTTGCCTATTGTATTAGAGATAGCTTGTTATAAGATACCCGGGCGTCGCCCCGGCCTTAGTTTTGCGGCTTTCGGAGTTTAGTTGGAGTTAGAAGTCATCGGAGTAAACACTAGTTCTTTGGAGTTCATACAAGTTTAGCAGAATATTTCAAGTTTTCTGAACTATTACACCGGAACAAACGTAAGTTACATCCTTTATTCTACTCAGGTAATTCAATAGTTAATCGTTAGTTTTCTTATAGTTTTCACCGAATTGTACGAATTGTTTCATTGTTTGTGAGAGAGGTCAGAGTGGAGCGGAGTTCTGAATAAHACCCATTCAATGGTACAACGCCTACGATTCTGGTTGGCACTTAGCGTCCCCTAGWACCTGCGACTTACCGGCGACGCGACAGTGAAAAGTTYGAGGTAAAACGTTTGAAAACTACTTGGAAGGTAAGACTACCTTAGTTATACAATGAACGGAGATACATGGACACYRAGGGCCGCCAGGACCCGARCCATGACTGAGAAGGGTTTAGAAAACACCCTAGAAAGAAAACGGAGAGATTTACGCATCCAAATGCACAAATTAAGTCACTATATCCAGAATAGCACTGATACTGAAATCCCACGTGCCGTCGATATTCAATCAATGGAGCAAACCGGAGCCATACTGGGCGGACTACTATCCGAATTCAAGGAGCTAATCGAGCAAACAAAGGAGCCTCTACAAACCGATGTATGATTGATTTTCTAGATAGATTGCTACATAAATCTAGTGATATTGTTAATCAAACAAAGAATAGTAAAACCGACAAATCGTCAGCTATAAGTCGTCACTCTCGTAAATCAGCAGCGTCCACGTCTAGCTCGGCAAAACTTCGCGCAAAAGCATTGGCCGACGCAGCAGCCGCACGTACACACGCGGAATTCGAACGCTTGATCGCCAAGGAAGAATACGAGCAAAAGCAACGCGAAGCAGAGCAGGAACGGCGCAAATCTAGTGATCGAGCGTTACACAAAAGGAACATTGCTACGCTAACCGCAGACAGGAAATTGGCAGTAGCAACCGCAAAACTTGACGCGATAAACCAAATCATGAGAGAGGAGACTGGAGTTATAGATGAGGAAGATTTTAACGATATAGAAGATGAATTAGATCAGGAGAGAGAAAAAAGAACAGAGGAATGGGTGAGAAAAAGTCAACAAGGAAGCATAGGCGAACACCGTGAGAGAAGCGTAGTGGGGGAGGGGTCCCCTAGTAATCAACATAACACGCAACCAACATTGAAAACCGCAAGCCATCGCGCACATGCCGACAAGTCTATTTTTGATCAGTTCTCACCGCACGCCTTGCATACTCTACGCCCCTTTGAGTCTACGCCCATCCGAGATGCCACGGGAACAATATTAGAGGCGTTGACAACAACCAACCAGAAAATTGTCTCGGGGATCGCAAAACAAAATCTTCCTAAATGTCACCCAGACACCTTCAACGGTGATGCCACGCTTTTTCATCCGTGGAAAAAGGCCTTTAAGGCAATGTTAAGCGACATAGACGTGACTCCCGATCAGGAGATTAACTATCTTCGAAAATTCACGTCCGGAGAAGCGCAACGTGTAGTAGATAATTACCGCAAACGTCAGAGCTCAAATCCAATTAGACTTCTTGGCGACTTGTGGTCTGAACTAGAACGCCGATTTGGTAGTCC